GAGCAAATCTACGTCCTTTTTATCTGGATCAAATTTGCATATTCATGCTCATCGCAATATGACCAATTTTTCTCTCGGCATAATTCAGAATTTAAAAACGTTTCAGTCGAAAGTTCTGTGCATGCTTGGATTTATGAAAGCAGTTTAACCCCATCATTCCTGTTTTTTCTCGCGTAAAACCTTTCACGCGACAACTTTTGCTCAAATCTCTCTCCGTAATTTTACCTTCTTTCTCTACCAGCTCAATCTGAGTCTTGCAGGAGCTACTGCGCTCTTCAATCGTCAGTCGGATCTGAAAGCCTCGGTGAAGTTTATGCGTGACCGAATGGCACGCCTCTGGCCGGCCTGGACAGAAGGCGTGCAGCAATATGCGGTCTTCTTGGCACAACGTGGCTTACCACCGAACATCAGTCTGACGGGTGGTCCGAAGCTTAAGGTTATAAAATAATTTTACATATTAACCTTAAAAATATTCTACTAAAAAACGAACGAACTTGTGGCAGATGGCAGAGAAAGTACTGCCTTTTCTTCCGTGCATGACCTTAGGCAACCTTGTGTTGTTTTTGCAAAGAGTTCGGTTTGTCCCATCCCAAACCAGGTCAGTTTAGTTTATTTGGAATATTTGGCAAGAGGCCATTGATAGACAGTTCCGATTTTCGCTTATCTCCCAGACTCACAGCTCGTTCCATAATCCCTGGCACCACAGACTCTATGTAATCAAATCTTTAGCTGGTTACCTAGTCGAGATCAGTTTGCCTGTTCCGGAAGCAAGGTTAACATCGTCCAAATCAAGGTGGGTCCTTGCGAGTCTGCATTCGAGAATGCAAACTTATAGTGCGTGTTGCTTCGCGCAGTCATTGACCGATAACAGATCCCGAGGTTTGGTTTTCGCAGGCTGAGCACTAAATGCTCGTGTTCCTCACAGCAAGTCGATTCATTTATAAAAGTCGATGATCGTCCGGTACCAGTAGGCATCTCGGAATTCAGGTATGTACCGCAGTGTGAACATATTATGAATGCATCCACGTGCACCTCCAAACTCGGTATATTCGTGTATTGGAGGCGAAGCTCTCTGCAGAAAATTTGGCAACGTGTATACCACTATGCCTCAGAGCGTCAACCTATCGACAAAGTCCCCAGACGTCAGTGTTGATACCACTCCCTTGCGAACAGAGTCATCCAGTTCAGGAGGCCTGCCACTGATTCGGCGGATGGTTATGTGGGGTTTCAGAGTACCAAGAACGTTTGCGGACTGCCTCTGTACCTTTGCCGAATAAGTTCGCAAACTAGTCTTCAACGAGGTTGATTATCTACAAAGTACTCGATACGGTTTCCGAAATTTGCACCAGCAGACAAGCACATCATTTGTCTATGGCTTTTTTGTCAAACTATTCCCTTAAATAAATCATTTTCTAATGTATTACCGGCAAACGTTAGGACTCTGAGATACGCGTATTTCTGGGTCATT